TATAAAATGCCTACTGTAGCAAGTCCCTGAGCTTGATCAGGAAACTTCAGTGCTGTCATATTTCAGACAATAATGATAACGTAGTAGTACTGGGCAAGAGACTCTAAAACCAAAGTGCCTAGCATAAGGTTTGGACTGATTTGTGGTTTCAAGTGCAAACCAGTTGAAGCTGGATTGTATGAAATGGTTTCAGCCCCATAATCATTACTAAGTTTCTTACTAGGCTATAGCTTTATCTAAACTCAACGCTTGAAATAAAACTCGGAGGGTTCTAAATGTCTCTGAAGAAGTTCTGAGGCAGATGGCCCCATCACCTATATTCCCAGTCCTGTGAACATTTTCCTCTCTAGACCGTAGGGTCCCCACTTTGAGTTTGAAGGTAATGTTTTAGAGTTACTGGAATAATCAGATTTATTGTTGACTTCAACAGGTTTGGGACTTCAGTCCTGGAGATACAAAATTGACCCAGCCGCTCAACAGGCCGTAATATTTGCTGTTACTTTTTAACCCTACCTAGTGCGGTGGGAAATGTCTCGTATAGATGCGCTGCTGAGTTTCCCGTACGTAGGTTCTGCTGCGTGGGAAGTATGACAGACGGGGCGCTAATGCTTCACCGGCTATTTATGCTTTTTATCACTAGGTCACAGAGATTGCACTGCTTTTTCTCATATCAGGAACACAGAGAAGGTAACAGGAGAAGCAGCCAACACTGTGATTTTTTCACTCCCCCCCCCAATCAATTGTTGTTTAGACCAAGAGTGTGTTATCTTTGGTAATAAGGTGTAGATCCGTTTCCAAGTCGTCTTCTTTAAATCTGAATATTTAATAAGAGGTATCACATATCAGAAGGCTTGGCATATCTCTAAGAGCATGCTGTGCTGTGCCCTCATTGCCTGAGATAACTGGGACAACTAACTGTGGAAGGCGACTGGCCTGCAAAGGCTTAGAACGGTTATGTGGAAGGTGACAAATGGGTGTAAGGTTAGTTTAATTCAGTTTGTGGGGTGTTTATGTACGCTGAGAAGCAAGGCTGTTCTCCAAGGGTGGAGAAACAACGCAGATCAGCATGGATCATCAGATTGTCTGATATACAGAGCTGAAGTTTTGGATTCATACTTCATTATTTGTTTACTCTTGGTCTAAAGAATGTCAAAACATGTAGGCACACAGAAGACAGGCCCTGAATAGCTCCTAGATTAATTTTGCTTTTGACAGGTAGCTAGGGAGAGCTCTAAGAGAGAGAGAAGGAAGGGGCAGTCTTCTTGTGATCTAAAACAAACTGGTGTACAGTGGAGGGTGCATGAATTCATGTGTCTGCCTGTGGTTTAATTTCTGTGTGAAACTAGTTTGACACCCTCGGCGACAGAGGAGGAGGAGGCTGCTGCGATACCTAAGGATGCGAGAGTGATGCGCCAGCTGAGTTGGGGTGAATGAAGTCAGTGCACGAGGACTGAGAGGATTGAGTGGAACACTGTAGTCAGAATAATACTATTTTGTGGGCAGAAATGGTATTTGTCTAACTCGCAGCATCTTCCCTATGACTCAATTTCTCATGCAAAGTTGATGGCAGTTAGAGCGACTATGTTGAATTGTTTCATAAATGATCCTGCTGTCAATTTGTGTACAGCATGCTCGTTAGCCCATTAGTTGACTTAGCCAACCACAACCTGCATTTTCAGCCTACTCTACTGTCAGTCTGGCGTGGCTACTGAGGTCCGCATCAGCAAAGCTTGTATTTCTCAGGCAAGAAAAACAGCCTGTAGAAGTACAATCTTGGAAGTAATTTTAACGGAATTGTAAAGAAAATATTATACAGATCTGTAAAATACCATGAGTTGTTGATATGACTGTTTCCAGATGATTGGGGATGTTTCATGTGTCCATGCTGGTGAATAGAATTGAATATTAAGGTGATCCTCATGGGTGGAGCTCATAACTGGCATACTTGCTCTCACCGTAGGAAACCGCTGGGATATGCAGTAAGGCAGTGGATATACTTAAAAGGATACTGAGAGAGATTGTCAGCTTTCTTAACAGATGATCTGCGTGATAAGTGTCCAATTACAGGAAATACATATCTGTCTTCATTTGACTTATTTAATGGGTACCGTTTGGAGGGAGTTTTTTGCTTAGGTTATGTTTTTCTTTACTTTTTTAGCTTTCTGAGCAACTGGTGGTTTTACAAAGGCATTTTAAAGAGGCTTTTAAAAGCAGTTGTTCTCCTTGCTGTGTAGGAGTGTTCTGTGTGGGTACAGAGAGCAAGATAAACTACTTCATCCTCCTGTGGTCTCACTGCAAATACAAATCCTGAGCCATAGGGGCTGGGAATGGATTCAGTCATGGCCATTATCCAGCTGCCACAGGCTTAAGAGCTGTGTGCCCTCTCCTGAGCCCTTATATCTGGAGTTCAGAGTGAAAAAGATCATAGGCTTCTTGCAGCCAGAGCATCTTACTAACGAGTAAGCTTTCTGTGGTCAGTTTGCTAATGCAGTTTTATTCCAGAGAGAGTCTCTTCTGTAAATTAAAGGCCCCATTGGTTTATTATTGTATTCAGATGTTTTCTGTTCTAGACCTAAATGAAATGTTGAACCCCCTTTAAATTGCTTAAAAATTACAGGAAGTGTTTTTCCTTGCTTTCCTAGTGTCGCCTCTAGTTCTTCTAATTCATCTCCTTCCTTTCATCCTCTACTGTGATCCTTCATGGCCATGCTGCTCGTGATTCTCACTCTCTTTGAGAGGAGCTGTTTCTAGAAAGAAAAGTTTGCAACTTCTTGAAGCAGAGCATGAAAGTAGCAAATCAAATCCTTCATGAACTAAGGCCAAAAAAAGTTACATGGGATGAAAATGCTCTTCCAGGTCTGGCAAGTGGCTCAGCCATGTTAGGTTTTTAACTTCCATTTTTAATTTTTAAAGGAAAATTGGAAAAATATAATCTCTCCTGAACTAAGTTCCACCCTTCTTTCAGCAGAGGAGGAAACAGTACCAGAGCAAGGCAATGGCAGAGGCTGGGACCCAAAGCTTTAGTTGCTTTTAATGTTAAAATATTTCTTGAAACATAAGCTTAACTGTGGTTGTTTATACCTGGTGTAGAGCTCTTTTTTTCTCTGTGTGCATTACTGTACAGCTGACTTAAATGGGTGACTACATAAGGAAGGATGACTTCTTAACCATCATATATCAGACCATTGCTGGAAGCAAAGTGAATTAATGCCCTGACTGGGTCTGGCACATGTCAGCTTCCTATTTTGCTTTCCCTGCACAAAAAGATGAGAGGAATGTAGGCCTTTCCCTTTATCTCACCTAGAAATAATGCACCTCAGCAAAGATTTCAATGGGCTGCCGGATTATTAGGATTGTAATGTCTTGCTTCTTTTTTCAAGTAGGATGAAACTAAATGCAATCATCTGTTGGATCAGATGAACCCAATGGCTTCTCTGCTGTAGGCTTTCATCATAGCAGTTATCTTGTATGATTTGGCCTGGCAGAGCTCCGGGCTTAAAAAATTTTGTAGGTGTCACATGTTTGGCACTGAGAGCTGTTGTCATATTTGTGCCTCCTTGCTTTCTAGCCTTTCTGTTTTGGACTACCATCACCAGTTTAAGTGTGTGATATTTAGAGGAGGCTGCTTGGCTAAATCCAATTCCAGTTATGTGGGCTTGAGTGATAGTCTGCTCAAACTCTGTTGTGTGCATTCTGGTAGGATTGTGGTGCAGTCTAGCAGGATGTTTGCTCAGCCACAGAGCTGGACTTATACATACGGTCTTGGTACTTTCTAGGAGCCAACTGACAGTGTGGTGTGGCTGCTGCCTTTGTTATGACTCTTCACAGACAGAGCTGGGCTTATATGGTCTTGGTACTTTCTAGGAGCCAACTGACAGTGTGGTGTGGCTGCTGCCTTTGTTATGACTCTTTTGTTAAGTTCATTTCTGAAAAAGAAAACAAAACCAAGCTTTGAAATTACATATCTCAACAGCTTATTTCAGAGACACCATATGGAACAGGCACTGCAGTCATGCTTGCTGTGCTCTGGTCAACTGCTTTTTGTAATTTTTCAGTGGCAGTGTCCTGTGTGCTATAGCCCCTTTGTTTCTCTATCTCTAATCCTCTCTGTTACAGGCTGTCCTACCAGAGAAATGATGACGACGAGGAAGAAGCTGCCAGAGAACGTCGCCGACGGGCTCGACAGGAGAGGCTGCGGCAAAAGGAAGAAGGAGATCTATCAGGAGAAGTAACGGAGAAATCAGAAGTTAATGCCCAAAACAGGTAACCTTCTGATCTTGTTTACTGACAAGTCCAAAGTAATTTAGGTTCAGCGTATAGAAGTATCACCGGGAGAGAAGTATCCCAGAGAGACTATCTGTCCAAAGTAATTTAGGTTCAGAGTATAGGGGTATCCTGGAGACATCTGTTTCACTACTTATGTTTTAAGCATGGGGTTTGTCAATCCTTGCTCTGAAGAAGACCGGATGCTGTGAGGAGTGCCACCAGCTGTGTGTACGCAGTGGGGTGGAGCATCACTGAAGGTAGGCCATGCTTACGACCCATTCCCCATTCAGGGCTGTCTACATGGTAATTCAGCTGGGGCTTATGGAGAGAGATGCCTCTGAAGCATCCTGCTGTCAGATTCCTCAGGCACGACTGTGTCTGGTCTCACAGACCTCCACAACTTTTGTCCTGCTTATAGGGGCCAAGGCATGGGGGCTTGGCAGGCACCCAGGCCTCAAGCTGCAGCTGAAACAGGCCTGCAAGATGTTGGGTGTGAGCGCTAGACCTCAGCCTCATCTGGCATTGTCAGGGCCATACAGCTATAAACAGCAGGAAAGCTTGTGGAGTGAGGTGCCACTTGTCACGAACTGAGTGGGCAGAGCTGGCCTTCCAGTCTGTCCATCATTTATTCAGTTTCACATAGTCACAAATAATATATTCAGTGTTCCAGTAGCCATAACACAATTGATAGAAGAGACCAGAAATAAACATTATAATATCAAGTTAATGGATACTGAGCACAAGTAGCATTCTATTAAAGACAAGGAGGATGGATATAGATATGAAAAAAGCAACATTTCTGACTGTAGATTATAATCTTTTTCCACAATAAAGGATTGGGGGTGGGGCGGGTGGGAAGCTACAAAGAGAGGCGATTCCTCCACACAGGAGAATTAAACAGCTAAATTTGGAAGGAGACAAAAAATCTCCAGGGACTGAGAGCGAGATCCAGACTTCATACGTACAGATGTTGAATGTCAAATTAGGTGCCCTGCACACTCCATTTTCTAACAGATTATTGTCCCTGTACAGACAATCACAACCTCACTGCACCCTTAATTGGCAGGCTTCCCCATTGTGGACAGTATCCATGGATGTTGTTGCTGAACAGGAGTAGATTCTTGTTGCTAGAGAAATTCACTGAAGTCTGAAAGTATCTTACTTGTGTAGCATCTTCAAAAATGGAACCGGTGGGAAACCTATGCATAAGACATATATACCTCAGGTCACACTGAAGGGATCTTAAAGCAAGCTAAGGTCTTCCAAGTGTTCCGATACAGGGTGCAGAGAGAGAGGATGAATTTGTCAGTGTTTTTCATCTTTCAGCTGCTCCATGTGTCACGGACTGTTCCAGCACCTACCGAGGTCAGTAAGGTTCCCAGGGACTTCAGTGGCTGTTGGAGCTTGCCTAGAAGGAAACCTTTCCTGTCTCTGACATCGTGAAACACAATATTCCTTTACATGTAAAAATGCCAAAATTAATCCCAGGAACCATTTGCTAAATTTTGAAATGTGCAACCTGTTCAGTTTTCAAATCATGGAATGATATTACAGCAAGCTTTTTTCCTAGAGACACCTAAGCATGTATGTTGTTAGATTTTTTTTTTTTTTTAACACAAAATTGTCGCTTCTGTGCAGTGTGGCAGAAGAGGAAACCAAGCGTACTGCAACCACAGGGGGAACAGATGATGAGGCTGCATTGTTGGAGAGACTGGCAAGACGGGAGGAGAGACGCCAAAAACGTCTACAGGAAGCCCTGGAACGTCAAAAGGAATTTGACCCCACAATCACAGATGGGAGCTTGTCCCTGCCCAGCAGAAGAGAAGTAAACAATGTGGAAGAAAATGAGACCACGGGGAAAGAGGAAAAGGCTGAAACACGCCGAGGACGCTATGAGATTGAGGAAACTGAAACGGTTACCAAGTCATACCAAAGGAACAACTGGAGGCAAGATGGGGAAGAAGAGGAAAAAAAAGATGCAAAAGATGAGGAGGTACAGGAGGAGAAACCGAAGGAGGCCCCAATAGAGGAAAATCAGGTAGATGTGACAGCAGAAAAATCCACAGATAAAGAAGAAGTAGTAGAAACAAAAAATCTAGCTGTAAATGCAGAGGAACACAAAGCAGAGAATGATACAAATGCTGTGCTGGAGGGGGAGCAGAGTGTGACTGATGCTGTAGATAAAGAGAAGCTTAGGGATGAGGAAAAAGCTAAGGAAGAAAGGGAAAAACTTGAGGCAGAAGAAAGGGAGAGGCTAAAAGCAGAGGAAGAAAAGAAGGCAGCTGAGGAAAAACAGAAAGCAGAGGAGGAGAAGAGGGCAGCTGAGGAAAGAGAGAGGGCTAAGGCGGAAGAGGAAAGGAGGGCAGCTGAGGAAAGAGCAAGGGCTAAGGCGGAAGAGGAAAAGAGGGCAGCTGAGGAAAGAGCAAGGGCTAAGGCGGAAGAGGAAAAAAGGGCAGCTGAAGAAAAGGCTAAGCTAGAAGCAGAGAAAATAAAGGAAAAACAAAAGATGGAAGAAAAGAAAATAGAAGATAAACAGGTAAAAGAGAAGAAAGTACAAGAGGAAAAACCTCAAACAGCTTTCCTAAGAAAACAGGTACAGTAAACATTTTGCACCAAAATAAGACACCTGTGGTTTGTGAGAAATGTAATGCAAGAAAAAAAAAAAGTTTGAACTGGAATTTCCTCACAGATCTATTCCTGCATTGAAATAACTAATACACATGCTCTCTCTCTTGCTCTCTCTCTTTTAAAATAAAGCTCCTGACATTATGCAGTGCACAACATGCCTGACCTCACTCCATCGTTCCAAGAAAACCTTGCATGTTCAGACTTCTGCATGTGTTTTTTGCTGCCATTTTTCTCAGCTGCTCTAAGCTGGCCTAATGCAGTAACACATGAGGTGGAGGGAGACACATCTTGGCACAAAAATATTATGAGCACCTGGTAAACTGTGTAAGGAATGCGTGTGTTAGAGGCAATCACATGGAGGTCTCTGCTGGGACAAAGGAGCATGATGCCACGCAAGGGAGAAAGGTCCGGGTGGGGGAATGGGAGCATTTGGACAGGGTGGAGGGAGCACAGCTGCACACAGAGATGTGGGCACAGCAGCATATGGTGGAGATGTGGCTGCACACAGGACTGGTACATGAACACAGTGTGAAGGCACAAAAGCACAAACAGATGTAATGTTTTGATATTAAAAAATACTATTACAACCCCAAAAATGAAGGGGGAAGAAAAAGAGGTTAAAGTGGAAGCTAAGCAGGAAAAGTTACCAGATGAGAAGCTGCGACCTACCTCCAAAAAAGATCAGGTAACTTGTAAACCATTGATTTTAGATGTTGTAGGGAA